TACTGCAGGTTAATATTCTGAACTACAAGGTCATTTTGAACCGCAAGGTTGGTGGTTCAAGCTCTCCAGTCACTCCTCGGAAATCCTATACAGGGTTGCTATGGTCGGAACGGACTTGACAGTACTTAACAACAACTATATGTGTATGTGTGTGTGTATGTGTGTGTATGGTGGTGATGTTGTGCCATGGAGTTGGTTCAGACTCATATCATCTCTGCATGGGGTTTCTGAGGCTGTAAATCTTTATCAGGGAAAGAAAGCCTCATCTTTCTCCCAGAGAACTGCTGATAGTTTCAAATTGCTGACCTTGAGGTTAGCAGTCCGACTGTAACCTTTTAAATTAGGAGCTACCAGAGCTCCTAAGGAGCATCCTTACCAATTACCAGTAAAAACACACACACACACACATACACACACACACACATTCAGTAGGTATTAGAGGTTGGAGAAAGAGTGCATGAGGATGCAGTGCTTGCTTATCAAGTTTCAACTTGAGTTTTTTAAGGAACATGTATTCATACATATCTTACCTAATTAAAAATTATTTTCAAAAAATTAAGTATTATCTGTATTAGGACATAAGGGAAACCTATACCTGAAGGTGCATTCTTACCAATTACCAACATGAGTCCCAATCTAGGGCCCCAGATGGTCTTGGCTTTTTAAGGTACTCAGTAATATTAAATGATAATAAAGTAAGTTTTTATTTGAAAATTCTTATATAAAAATTCATATGCTGGGATGTTTTTGCTACAAAGTCACTGTATGGTACATTTTATATCAATAAATTTTAACAGCCCAGAATTTGTTATACTAGAAAACTGAAAAAAGAAAATCCGTTTGTAAGTAATGAATTTGCAAAAATTTACACTGGTATTTGCAACATAAAAAGGCTTAAATATAACAACTCTTTCTGTATTAATATTATGTTGTTATGACGCCCTTTAAACAACAATTCTCCACTGAGGCAGTCCTTACTCATGTCAGCTACATGTGTATCAGATAGAACTGTGCTCTGGAAGGATTTCTTCTGAGGTCCCTTTGGGTGGACTTTAGCGTCCTGGTGTGGCGCTGTAGGATAAGCACTGGACTGCTAATCACAAGATGGGCAGTTCAAACCCACCAGATGCTCCTCAGGAACCCTGTATGGAGTCACTATTAATCGAACTGACTTGACGGCACTTAACAACAACAAACCTCTAACATTTCGGTTAGCAGCCAAGCGCACTAATGGTTTGTACCACAGAATAGACCATCTGTGCTGCTCTAAAGGTGCCTTGGGTACTTTACTACTGACTCCCAATCTCACTAATGGAACTACACAGTAACTGTTAGGAATAAAAAATGACACACAAGTTTCTTCAATTATTAAGTTCTAGGAATCATTGAAATGCAAATGAACCAGAAAGTAACTTTTGTTTTTTTTTTAAACTAAAAACTAAAGTAAACAACCCAAGGAATATAGAATCCTTATATAAGAAAAATAAATAAACAATTAGTAAGGAATCGGTCCATTCCTATTTCACTGTGAAGAATAATAAAAACTATTTTGGCTTACATACCCAGCCTCCGTTTTGCCTTATCCATTCCGCTGTGTTATTCATTATGAACTCAGCAACAAGATACGAGATCTTCTTGTAAGTGTCCACATCTGGAGCAATTCGCTCTCGTGGAAGTTTCTTGATGAGAACACCTCCAAATGCAAATATAGTCACAATTCTTCCCCAGTTAATAATGCCATCTTCAAATTCCTTTTCCATCACCTTATTAAATATTGTCCTGGCATTATCTACAGAAATAACATCAAAATTGTCCAAGCACGGTTTCAAAGTCTTTTCAACTTCTTTTTGAACGGAGAAGGCAACATTTTGTAATAATCTAGATGTTTTGCTTGGACCAACTCCAAGTTGTGGTATCTGCAAAACATACTTTAGATAGTCTTTGGCCAGCCTGTAAATATATCCAAACTCACAGTCATTCATCTTCAGCCTGGCGCAGAGCAAAGTCTTGAGTTAGTTCACCTGGAAGCTCTTGAGGCCGTTTGAAGCAAAACTCACCAGGGTTGTGACACATAATGATATCTGGAGGCTGGTGGAATTTCTGCTTGCATTATATTACCATATCCTTCCTCGTAATCACTTACATGTGTGTGAAAGAGAAAGTTTAAAATGCAAAAGAGGAAAATATTTCAAAGACAGAGATCACTTCCTCATCCTCTCAGTGGTTTATTCAGCATTAAAGCTTTAAATGCAGCCAGTTGCTGAAAACTATCAATGAAAATTATTATCACCATTTAGAATGGAGACCAAAGAAGAAGCTAGGTAATGGAACAAGGGGCTCTCAGAGTGACTGTGGCATTATAATCCTTGGTGATTTTTGGTATTTGAGTCATGTGATATGGGGAAGGAAGAAACTTCACTTCTTGTCTTAGTTATCTGGTGCTACGATAACAGTTTAAGAGTCCTGGGGTGGTGCTGTCAGTTAATACTCTAGACTTTAAGGTCAGTTTGAACCTCAAGGTAAGCGATTCAAGCTCACCAGCCCTACAATGGTCAATAGACTCCTGTGAACCCTGGTGGAGACCTGGTTGGCCAGCAGTGTGGCAAGACCTGGGGACTCCTGGGCGCAGAGTCAGTGACACAGCCACAGAGGACTAGAGTGGAGAGTGAAACATCCAGCTGATAAGAAGAGAGGGCATATGCACAAGAACACCCACACTTGCAGATAATACCCACTTGATCTGGCTTCAATGACTGGATGATCAGAGCTCAACTAGAAGAAGAAAGAAGAGGGAAAAAAGAATAATCTGATACAATTTGATGAACTTGATCTACACCTATGGATGCAGTAGCTCAAAAGAGGGAACAAATCTTTACAGCGAGGATCATTCCCACCCCCTCTGTACACAGAGTAGACAGGGATGGGCAACTTAGACATCGGCTACCCAGAGTGGGGGGTTGGGGGGGAGGCTACAAAGGCAAGAAGTGACTGGCTTACAAGCTTTCAAGAGGGAGCCTAGATCCAGAGAACACGGAGGAAAGTAAAATCTCCACTGAGTAGTATCCAATCTGTCTGGGCGGGACTAATGAAAGGAGATGGTACAATAGTGAGTAATTGTTATCAGGACTGACTGAGAGGGTTGGAAATGTAAAGATAGACGTTTTGTAGCAAAAGGAGAGGAGTGGTTGATTTTTCAGTCTAGGAGCGGAGGTTCCTGGGACCATCAAGGTAGAAGAGTGGAGAGTGGGACCCTACCCAGAGAAACAGTGACGCCAGAGATGGAGGCAGAGATGATAACGTGGAGAAATGGAGCATCCGGGGACTCTAGACCCCGAGAGGGAGAGGGGCTGTGTGCTGACGACCAGGGGGCAGGCTTGTAGTGTAAACCCTTTGGTTGGTTGATGATGCATGGAGGGGATTGTAACCATGGCAATGAAACAATATACGATAGGACGGATATAAAGGTAATGTTCTCCAATTAAGCTATCACATAATTCACAATAAAACATTAAAAAACAAAAGATATTAACTAAATAATGTCTAGGATCTTAAAAGCTCATGAGCAACCATCTAAGGTGCAGAAAGAAGAGTGATGAGAATTGAAGAGGTTAGAATCCATTAGTCCAGCGGACAGTTGACCAAGTGGACACCAGTCTCCACAACTCTGAGACCAGAAAAACTAGTTGGTGGCCAGCTACCAACTGCTCTGAAAGGGATTACATTGGAGGGTCCAGGACAGAGTGGGAGAGTATATGGAACAAAACTCAAAATTATTTTAAAAAGAAAGGCTAGGTTTACTGGTCAGAAAGAGACTGGAAGAACCCAAGACTGTGGCCCTCAACCACCCTTTAGATCTAGAAAGGAACTCCCCCTCATGGCCCAGTTTTCAGCCAAGCAGTACGTAGGTATATAGGGGGCACAACAACACTAGTAAACTATGCTGACTAAGGAATTGTCAATCATTCAAAGTTCAAAGGGCAACATTTAGCTAAGGATAAAAGGGAGACAGGATGGGAAGGTGAGTAGAATGGAAATAGGAGCCCCAGGGAGGAAGTAGATGAACTTGCTTCATGGAGGGGATTGCAATTATTGAGATAAACAAAGCATAGGATTTGTTGAATGTCAAACTGATCATCTTGTCCGTAAACCTTCATTCAATTCACAATAAAAAGTTAAAAAAAAAAAAAGATATTCACTCAAGATATACCCTACACTAATGCTGCATTATTAACATAAAGGACAATCCATACCCACATGGGGTTACAATCACAGGCATTGTTGCTATTGATTGCTATTATTGTTGATGCCTTAGAATGAATTCTGACTCATAAAGCCCCTGTGAACAGACGAAAACATTGCCTTATACTGTGCCATTCTCATGACCATTGCATGTTTGATACCCTAGTTACAGCCATTGTGCCAGTCTCATTAAAGATTTTTGTCTTTTTTGCTAACCATCTACTTTACCAAGCATGATAACCTTCTCCAAGGACTAGTCCCTCGTGATGTTGTTGTTGTTATGTGCCGTCGAGTCGGTTCCGACCCATAGCGACCCTGTACAGGGTTTCCAAGGCTATAAATCTTTACGCAACAGAAAGCGTCATCTTTCTCCCGCTGAGCAGCTGGTAGTTTCAAACTGCTGACCTTGAGGTTCGCAGCCCAATTCGTAACCACTACACTACCAGAGCTCCTTAGTCCCTCATGATAACATGTTCAAAATATATGAGAAAAGTCAGAGTATTCAGACTATACTTCTTCCAAGGTAGATTTGTTCATTCTTCTGGTGTCCATAGTATATTTACTATCCTTCACCAACACTACAATTCAAATGCGGCAACTCTTCTTTGGTCTTTCTTTATTCATGGCCCAGCTTTTGGATGTATATGAGGCGACTCAAAATACCATAGCTTGGATTTGTCACACCTTAGTCCTCAAGGTGACACCTGTGCTTTTTAATCATTTAAAGAAGTCTTTGCAGCAGATTGGCCCAAAATGCAATATGTCATCTGATTTTCTGATGGCAAGGTCGGCAGTTCAAACTCAGCAGCTGCTCTGTGGAAACCCTATACAGGTTACTATGAGTCACAATCGACTCAATGGAATGTAACAACAGCAATAAGGAGTCAGAATCATCTCTTAGTGTGGGGGTGAGTGTTGGTAGATAGAGTCACCAAATTCAAGGGGAAGAAGCATAGAACATTTCTCTTGATAAAGAAGAATGTCAAAGAATTTGCAGCCACGTTTTAAAACTGCCACAAAGTACAGCTCACATACTAGGTCACATACAGACACATTCATGTCCAATTGAATCAATGTCACCTAGTGTAGAGAGGGATAAGGAGTCCTGGTGTGGTGCTGTAGGATAATACACTGGACCAAAAGGTCCGCTGGAACCACAAGGTCGGTAGTTCAAACTCACCAGTCACTTGGAAACCCTAAACAAAGGGTCACTATGAGTCAGAATTGACTTGACAGCATTTAACAACAGTAACAGGAGGGGAAAGAAACCCCGTCTTCACATACAAAACTCTTACCGAGGCTCTTTACTAACTATTCAACAGGAGCAAAAGTAAGACAAAAGAAACACAGATGACCCAGGAGAAGGAAATCATTGCTATAGCATGATGAGATTTCTAAACTTCCACTTCTACGACGTGACCTCCTCCCACAGCCATGACTGACTGCAGTCACGTATCACCTACGCATGCCAGGCCTATGAGAGCAGGAAGGGGCTACTGTAAATAGGAAAACATTATAGGATTCCTAATGAAACAGCCAAGAGTCCTGGTGTGGCGCTGTGGGCTAATGCGTCATACTGCAGAGTCGTTTGAACTGCAAGGTTGATGGTTCAAGCTCACCAGCTGCTCCTTGGAAACCCTATACAGGGTCGCTATGGGTCAAAATTGACTTGATGGCACTTCACAACAACAACAATGAAATAGTCAGGGTATATCACAACCAGGCAGCCATTAAGGGATGTGCCTGGGAAAGTTTCTATGAGGGCCAGCCAGGGCAAGTGGCCCCAAACCCTTTCAGATGCATTCTGTTTCTCACTCTGGCAGTTTGGCTTTCAGACATATATGTATGAGGTACTCAGGGAAAAAATGCCATCTGAACACTTACACCTAGGTACAGATGGAATTAACCTCTTCCTGACTGGAGTCGTTCACAGGCAGAAAACCTTCAGATTTCAGACTCTAAAGCATGCCTCATTCAATTTTCTTTAAAAACTTCCTAGTGTGAATGGAGTGAAGGTTTACAAAGCAGATCATCAGTTTTACATTCAATAAAGCATAAACGTAGTTTAATTACAGTGAATGCAGTCCTCTCCATGTACCAACAATTAACAATAATTTACCTCTATTGTTGTTGTTAAGTGCTGTTGAATTGATTCCAACCCATAGCGACCCTGTAAAGGTTTTCCAAAAAGCGACTGGTGAGCTTGAACCACAGACCTTGTGGTTCATACTGACCTTGCAGTCCAGCAACACACCAGGATTCCTTTACCTCTATATAAACACTGAATTGTTGTTGTTATGTGCTGTGGAGTCGGTTCCAACTCATAGCAACCCTGTACAGGTTTTCCAAGGCTGTAAATCTTTACGGGAGCAGAAAGCCTCATCTTTCTCCCGCGGAATAGCTGGTAGTTTCAAACCGCTGACCTTATGTGGTTCGCAGCCCAATTCGTAACCACTATGCTACCAGAGCTCCTTAAACACTGAATAATATTATATAATACTTAACTCTCGCACTCCTCCCTGAGTCTCCCGTTGCTTTCATCTTTCCTTTGCCAACCTCACTCTTGGTTTATATTGTCTTCCCCATCACTTAATTAACATGTGTCTACCTTCTTTGTGGCGCTGTGGGCTAATGCATCAGACTGCAAAGTCGTTTGAACAGCAAGGTTGGTGGTTCAAATTCACCAGCTGTTCCTTGGAAACCCTGTACAGGGTCACTATTGGTCAGAATTTACTCGATGGCA